CCCCCTTAAGTAGTACCCTCCTCCGAATATAGTACCTCTAGGGTACTATTCAAATTAGGCTCAGATTTGCTTGAATAGTACGCGGTACTAATGTCAGCGCTGTACGGTAATGAAAAATATAAACTATTCAACTTCTAATATAATATTAAATTAGTAACAAAAAAAAAGAGTCAATAATCGCTCATGAAAAACAATAATAATGATTTGTTATCAGGTCAGTATTTTACGTATTTTATTTTTTGATTTTTTTTTTCTTTTTTCTACTTATATCAGCTAATTTTATATTTTTTACACAGAGAATAGAAAATTAATTAAGCAAGTATCTGAATTACGTAAGAAATACTTCAACTTAAAATAATTACATGAGAAAATAACAAACATTTAGAGACTATTTGCAATAAGGTAAATTGTTTACAAAAAGATAACGAATTGCTTGCCAGCCTTAATATAGAATTCAGAAATAAAAATAATAAACTGAAGTGTGAAAATGTCAAGTTAAAAAAGAAGCTTGAATAATACGAATTATATTATCTAATATCAACTTCTGATGATAATCATTCAGAAAAACAGTTCAAAACATCTAAAAAAAAAAGAAAAGAGGCAAAATAACATTATATTATACTGATGATAATTCAAATAATAATAGCAATAACAGTTCAGAGGATGAATTACCTGAATATTGTGAAAAAGAAGTCAGGGTTTGTAAATTTTTATTCAATATTGTATATCTTTTATACTCTTATACTAATTATTCAGATTTTAAATTTTATTTAGATTGAGATGAAAGCGATTCTCAAGATAATTAAACTAATTAATAATTTAGATTTTAACAAAATGTTTAATAGTACACAAAATATCAAGATTTAGTATTGATTAATCTCTGAATTACGTTAGACAATGATGCTAAACTATCATCTATCAGTCAAACAACTAATAGCTTAGTTAAATTATTTACATAAATCCTGATAAATTCAATTAAAATTAAAAAGAATTGAAAATACTGATGATAATTGATGTGTATATAATAATAGTCAAATTTAAGATGTAAGTAATCTATTAAAATCAGCAATTTTTTATTTTATTGTATACTAATTTTTTTATTATTTTAATTAAAATTACAATGAATCAGAATCGCAAATTCTCTGTATAAAAATAAGGATGAACAAGTCGATAATTATGACAAATAATCCTTATTAAAAATTTTGGTAAATTAAGCATATTATTCGTCAGAAATAAGCGAAACTGACAAAAATGATCAAAATTAAAACATAATATCGGTATATGACTACTCATGAAGGTCTGAAAAGATTTGTATTTTCCTTTTTACTTCTCTTTATTTTTTTAATTCTCTTTAATTCAACTTGTTTTTTTAGTTTAAGATGCTTCTTTAAAATGTTCTTGATCAACGTTTGACTACAATTCAAATGGTCAAAGTGCAAAGAAAATGTATATATGATGACGAATTGCAACATTTAGACTGTATACACCTTGCAAATGCTTTTATGTAATCATATATTAATCAAAAAGTATGATATATGACATGAAATTTGACAATAAAGGGAAAGAAAATAAAGAAAAAGAAGAGAGAGTGCTATTAACTAGCCATGAAAGAACTCTGACAGTTTTGATCAATGCATCACTTTCTGATAATGACCTTGTAATAGATGATTGACAGATCTAATTCTATCATCATTCTTACCCTACATAACACAAATATGAAACTTCTGATAACCATCATTACATCCTGAACATTTATAATATTTAATAAGTATCGAACATTTTTCTTTTTTATTTATTTATTTTTATTATATTTTTATTATTCGATTACATTCTGAATATTATTATAACATTTATTAATTATCGAACATTTTTTTATTTTTTATATTATATTTTGATTATATTTTTATTATATTTTTGTTGTATATATATATATTATTAATGTGCAATCCTTTCAGATTACAACTGTTAGATGTAGTGTCAGAAGGTTGACTTTTTATAGTCTACATAGTAATTTCAGTTAATTTATGATAATCTTAGCTAATTCACTACCAGTTTATCAAATTGAATCAAGTTTATTAGACGCAAACGACTTTAATCATAAGTTAAAGTTATTACAGTAAGTTTGAGAAGAGTTTCAGATAAGAAATAAGAAATACTTTATTTAAGAAAAAGGAAATAATAAAATAATGATATATGAAAGAAATAAGAAAAGAGAAATAAGAAACAGAAATATACGAGATGAAGAGTAGCATTATGCTATCTTTACAAGAGAAAAGTTCTATATAGCCATCAGTCTTGTCTCTTCTAATTGACAAAAGATGTTGTATTTATATCTATTCTATTATATATTTTGATATATCTAATATATTAACTATGTTAATTATATCAACTATATTAACTATATCTACTATATTAACCATATTAGATATATCTAATATGCTAGACATATTAGTTATATTAAATATGTTAGACATGTTAAATATATTTAACATTATCGACATTTGTATTTTATCACACAATTGTAGATCTATGATCATTAAGATCAATATCCGGTTACAATATATATAAATAAATTTTTATAAATTACAATAAATAGTTGCTTAATAAAACATATATTATTTGTGTCTGAATTGCGTCTTATTATCTGATTTTAGATAATCTATAATTTATAATTTATCTGTTAAATTTAGTATATATTAGTTTTGATTTTTATTTAATTTCATTTTGAAATTTATCTGATTGCTACCAATCAGACAACAATTAGAATACATGATTTTAGTAAGAATCAGCCAATATTAAGTCACAATTTTGACAAAAATCAGATATCTGATTTTTGTCAAAATTGAACTATTTCGACTAATGTTAATTACTTTTAAATATTATTATTTAAGTATAATTTCAATTATAAAAAATATTATAATAAAAAAATGATTATAAATATATTAATCTTATTATTTAAAAATTTTTTTAATAAGAAATTATAAATTAAATTTCTAATGATTAAAGTTTATAACTTATTAAAACTTTAATATATTATATTGTAATAAAATTATTAAGAAAATGTTAAATAAATATTATATTAATTTTTATTTAATAAAATTAATTACTTTTTAATTTTAAAATATTATATTAAATATTTTAATTAGTATATTAATTATAAAACTCAAAAAATTATTATTTATTTTTATTTAGATATTTAATTCTATAATATAAATATTTGGTAATAAAAAGAAAAGAAAATTATCAAAAAATTTTTTATTTTATGATTTTTTTTAAATAAAATAAATTTAAATTTAATATTAATTTAAAAAGTTTTTTTTTGATAAATTTTCTTTCTTTTTATTGCAAAATATTTATACAAACATAAAAAAAGATTAAAGTTTATAAATAATTTACATTTATTTTAATAATTTTAATTTTAAAATTTAAATTATTACTAGATATTTAAACTTAATATAATAAATTAAAATTTTAATTTAATAAATTTGATTAATTAATTTAAGTAATCTATTTAAACTATAAATTTCTCAAATTAAATTATTTAAATACTTAATACAGTTAATAATAAAGGACTATTTGTAACTTTAATAAAAAGGATTTGAGCTAATACTTTTAATCCTAATCCAAAGATTAATATTAATAAAGTTTTACAATATCCAATATTTAAAAATACTGTAAATTGAAAAATATATATATTTTTTTTTTGATAAGCTATATATAATATTTAATTATAATATAATATAAAATAAAATAAAAATCCTTTAAATACCTTCAAGTGCTTCAACATTAGAAGTTATTACTACTATATTTATAAGCCAAGAATATTTAAATTCATTATAATCCCAAATTACCATTAAAATTAATAAAATTTTTCCAAAACTTGATATTATTAATGCTATGGTAATATAATTATATCTAAAAATCAAAACAAAATCAGTTAATTGAAATTTGGTGATTTCTCCCATTTGTTGTTTTACACTCACTTGACAATAGCATATTTGTCTCCAATATATAAACTTACAGCCAACCTTAAACCAAATTGAAAGACAACAAATTCTAAATGAAATAATAAGTTATTTTAGGTTTTAAAATCTGTTTTTTTTTTTAAAAGTTTACTTGCCTATGATACATAAAAATAAAATATATAAATACTGAAGAAAGAGTGGTCGTTCAATAAATGGAATATTGGAAACTGTATAATATTTTTCTAAGCTAAACCATTTTATGTCTTTTTTTTTAAAATTTAAGGATTGCGTAAATAATAAATAAAATAATTATTAAACGACTTTTTTTTTTTTCAAACAAAACTTCAAAAGGATACAAACATCAAAAAGTATGAGCAGGATACCAAGTTTCAATACATTTGGCTAAAAAGAAAAAATTGAAAGAATATGAAGATGAAAGGTTACGATTGATTCTTTTAAAAAGATCAAATTGATAGCTTCACTTACATCAATACCATGGTCTCGATATTCTAATCGATTAAATAATAAATGTCGATATACTTGAGGTTTATGTAATAGCATGTCTATAAAAATTATAACAAAATCATGCTCAACATATTTGTCCGCAAATTTATTACATATCTCCTAAATAATTTAAAAGTAAATATTATTTCAAGTATAAATAATAATGAAATAGAATGTATTTAAAAAAAAAATTACACAATGGGTCAGTCGAATGTTTCCTTTACTATATTCAGTGTATAAATTAGTTACAGGTACTCCACATTCAACACAAGTTGGCATATTAAGATTTTTGGAAAGAAAAAGGCGACAAAACTCTCGTGTAACGTTACTAACTGGAAAAAAAAAATGTTTGTTAATCGAAAATCCTGTGCACTTGGTAAATTTTTTGGGAAATGAGATTATTCGGCTTATTTTTGGCAACTCATCTTTTATTTACTTACATAGCAAAATGATTTCGTTAAGAAGTTCCGTGTCGATAAAACTTTATAAGAATTTCGTTATAAAAAGAGTAAATTTGTGTTTTTCTTGCAAAAAAAAAATATTACTTCGATGGTTTTATTGCAGTATTGCGTAACCATGTATTTAGACCAATCATATTTGAACAACGCATTAAAATTCGTTGTACATCTGCCATATAAACAAAAATTTGACAAGTTTTATTCCAAAATCTTTTCCACTTTAATTATCTTTAAAAAAAATGCGATTAACGTCTCTTTCATTTTTGGGGTTATTATTATTACTATCAGTAGAAATTATATATTGTGGAACTGATTATTATTCAGTTTTAGGAGTATCACGGTCAGCAAGTTCAAGAGAAATTAAAAAAAGATATAAACAATTATCAAAAAAATATCATCCAGATAAAAATCCCGGTGATAAAGAGGCCGAACAAAAATTTGTTCAATTAGCAGAAGGTATAGCTTGATTAGAATTTTTAAATCAATAAATCCTGTAAAATATGTCGTGTTAAATACCTTCTCTTCAATGACAGCGTACGAAGTTTTATCGGATGATGAAAAACGAGATATTTATGACAGGTATGGAGAAGAAGGACTAAAGCAGCGAAGTCAAGGTGGAGGAGGTTTTCATAACCCATTTGATATATTTGCTTCATTCTTCGGTGGAACTGGTCATTTCGGTAACAATCATATATGTTCGATTTCTCTTTTTTTTTATGAATGATTTAGTGATAACATGATTTTTTTGATTAGGTCATCATCAACAATCGGAAAGACAAGGGCCGAACATTACTATGGAATTAGAAGTGGAATTAAAAGAATTATATTTAGGAGCTCAAATTGAAGTCGATGTTTCGAAACAAGTTATTTGTGAACATTGTGGAGGATCGGGTGCAAAGAAAGCAGATGATGTTATAACATGTAATGTTTGTGGTGGACGTGGAGTTAAAGTAGTTAAACAACAACTCGGTCCTGGAATTTTTCAACAATTTCATTCCACGTAAGTATAAACTCTTTGAAAGTGATTTATTTAAAAGTTAAAGTTTTGATTAATCTTTGATTTATAGATGTGAAACGTGTGGTGGAGTAGGTAAAATTGTAAAATCGAAATGTCCAGTGTGTAAAGGAAAGAAAGTTCGACGTGGAAATGAGCAATTAACAATAATAATTGAAAAAGGGCAAGTTGATGGTGGAACGATTGTGAGTAACGAAATCCTTTTACGTAGCGAGATTTGTATTTTATATCTAAAGTATAATTAATTGATTTTATCTTTAATATAGGTTTTTGAGAAAGAAGGTGATGAATCACCAGAAACTATTCCCGGCGATATAATATTTAAAGTAAACACAATACCGAATCCGACATTCGAAAGAAAAGGAAACGATTTATATGCAGAACAAACAATATCACTGATAGATGTAAGCTTTAAGCATCAAAGCATTGAGAGTTAAAAAAAAGGACTATGCTAATATAACATTGTGTTTTTAGGCACTTACTGGATTTGAAAAGAATATGACACACCTTGACGACAGAAATGTTTTACTGAAAAGAGATAAAGTAACGCAACCGGGATTTGTTCAAATTATTAAAAATGAAGGGATGCCACAATTTAGATCACAAAGTAAAGGCGATTTATATGTAAAATACACGGTAGTATTCCCTTCTGTAATAGATGATAATACCAAACAAGGTAAGAACAGCATTATTTTATAGGAAAGCTTTTTTTTTTTAATAATTTTAATTAATTCCTTTTTTTTTTAAAAAAAAAAAAAAAAATGATGATGATGATGATGATCACAACAGTATTAAAAGACCTTTTCGGAAAATCTGAAACAAGAAAGATACATGAAAAAGATGAATTATAATATTTAAGACGACGACTTTATAGAAATATTTAAAAATAGAGGTTTAATACCTTCACCATATACATTACTTTTTAATTTGGCACATTTCCATCATATATCATTTATTTCATGCGCCAATTAATTTTATTTAATTCATCATATTATGTAATTTGTTCGTAACAAAATTTTTTTTTTTCCTTTATTATATACATGTAGAAAAACGATTTAACGTAGTTTAATTCTTCTAATTGTTAAAAAAAAAATTTTTATTAAATGCATATAAATGTTAATGATGTCTTGTTTTTCGTGATGCGTCTCGTTTTTTTATTATAGGATTTCATCTATAAAAATATCATGTGATGTACGCTATCCGATTCCATAACTTGGAGGAAAAAAAGATAAAAAAAAAAGTCAAAAAGTATGTTCATATTAGAAGGAAATTTTAAAAATTGATTTCTTACTTTTCGTCACATTTTTCAATTCTCTATTCAAAAAAGATAATAATTTTAATATTGAAATATAAATAAACATTTACAATTATTAAAAAAAAAAGACTTACGGTAATATTATAACAATAATATTTAAGATGAATATCAAGAAAGATATTCCATAAGAAGTTAAAATGAAATGAAATAAATTCAAAAGATAAATACTTCTAACTTGTTTATAAAATATTGAATAAGGTATAAACATCAAATTAAATATTAAAAATATTATTCCCCAAGTAATATTAATTATTTGCATCTAAATAAAATTTAATTAAAAAAAACCCCCAATTAATAATAATAATTATAATAATAATAATAACTTTTCTCACCTTGCGAATACGAGCTTTAAATCTAATTTGACTTTCCTGTGAAGCTTGATTTGAATTCTCATCAATATCATCAATTCCAGCCAATTCAATACCTTTTTTTGCCAAATTAACTGATATACTCCCATAAAATAAAAGACATATTACATAAAATAAATTATTAAATTCATAAATCAAATCTACACAAAATGAAAGGATCCTTGCACTTCTATTATCACCATTCCTATCCATATCAAATCCTCTGATCAACAGAAGACTAGATACGCCAATTAATGTATAAATTGACAAAATCCGAAAGATTATCGTGACTTGACTACCTTTTGGTATCCATATGGTTGCTATTTTAGTATTTGGACGTTCACTTTTATAAGGAATGAAGGATGATGATGAAATGGATTGACTCAAGGTTAATTTGGGAATTAATCGAAATATACTGGCCAAGTAAGTCTGAATCGCGAAATGACCCGGTATAATTCCTATTTTGTATATTAAACTTCTTATAACCATGTTTTCTGCAAACAGATTTAATACGGTAATAGTGCTACAAAGGCTCCGAAATAGACAAAATATAGCTAACCATAACGTTGAGATATTTATCGATGACCATTTATATATTTTCCACATTTTATCATTGGAATGAAAATATAATCTCCAACATAGAAGTGAAGTCGTCATAAAGAAAACGAAAAAATCAAATATCCCAGCTATTGATAATAGAACTTTATATGTTGATAAATCTTTATTACAATTTAATAAAGTTTCCCAACTAAATAGAATGAAAATTAAAATGAAATTAAACGAAATCCTTTCTTCAACAAATTCACTTGCATAACTTACTCGCAATATGAATTTTCTTGATCATTATTCATAACATTAGCATCATAAGTTATATTCAACATGTTTTTTACGCATTGGAAACAAATTCGAAATTCTTTATATATATGAAAAAAAGATCGCTCCGCGATTTGAAATAGATGTAATTTAGATAATAATGACTTTTTTTCAAAATGTTCAAACCTTTAATTAGTTAAGTCACGTCAGTGGAAAATTAATAACCCACATACAGGTTCATTAATTAACCTATATTCGGCACTTTAATATTGTTATGTGTTAAAAATGTGAGTACTATACATATAAGTAACATAAAGAATTTTACCAATTCTTTTTGTTATTATTAATGAAAAGTCAGTTAAATGACGAAACTTATTAGGGCGAACTTGATAAAACTTGGTTAAAATTAAACGCGAAATTGGTTAAACCAATAAAATAAAAAATAAAAAAAAAATAATTTTGACACTAAACCTTGAATTTCAAATGTTTTAAACAATTTGTATAGTTTTTATAAATTTTATTTTTTCAATATTTAGATAATTTTACTAATTTTTTAATAATTATTTATATGAAAACTTACATAAAGTTAGTAAGTTTGTTTTTATAATTATAAAAATCTGTTAGTAGAATTTTATTTATATGATTCTCTTTGATCTTATAAAAGATTAAAAAGAAACATATTACGGGTTTTTCTTTTTTAGATTGAAACCCGTTCGTAAACATATACAAATGATACACTTGATTTACTGCGAGCTAAACGCACGGAACTTCTAATCAGTATTTTAGAATCGATTATCATACATACATTGATCAACAATGATAATCCGCTGATAATTGACAGTTGACGATCAATAAGAGATCTATAATATGATTCGTTCTCATTTATTAATGGCGTTTTTTACTTCTCATATCGGTTAAATCTTCATACAGTGATTTTTTACGTTTCATGTGATGCGTGAAAAATGTCTTTTTTTTTTTATTTGCAATTTATGCACCTATTGTGTATTGAGATTATTTTTCAGAAGTTTCATCGTTGTTATTATCCACCAAGTGATGTATATGACCGGTGGATTTTTGATCTTTTACGCAACATTCAATATTCTTAAACCATTTATCTTCAAATATATCTTGTAAAGTAGCACGTTTTTCTGGAACAACTTCGAGGATTTTTCTCATAATGGAACGAGATGCCAAAGGAAGTTTTTTAAATAAACGATCAGGGTAACGTAAAAAGGTTTTAAATGAAGCTTCTTCTCCCGATTTAGCTACCAACCAAGGGAACCTTCCTGTAGTCATACATGTGTAAATTATTCCCAATGACCAGATATCTGCTGATCGAACATCATAAGATGTGCGAGTATATGACTCTGGACAAATATATGGATCCGATCCACAAGGACCTAAAGATTAATAAATTTTCGTTTTAGTTAATCAATTAATTCAAATGTGAAAAAAAAAACCGATATCTTACCTGAGGAGAGCATGACCTTATCAAAGAAAGGATATTTAAAGACGACCGAACAACCGAAATCGATTAATTTTACAATTCCAAATTCATTTAATACACAATTATCTAACTTTAAATCCCTATGAGCGATTCCCATGTTATGCAAATAACTTACTCCCAACACGATTTGTTTGAAACAACAATGAATTTCATCCTCGGTCATTTTTTTTGACATCACAATTTCAAATAAATCAAAAGGGGCAAATTCCATTATTTGGTATAATTGACCTTTCTCTTGTATGATATCAATGGTTTCAATGATATTTTCATGACGTAAAGTTGATCCTATACAAAATTCCGCGGTAATATTTTTTAACCAAGATTTTTCTGATTCATAAGGGAATCGTTTACGAAATTGTTTTACAGCAAAAGATTTATTATCAGATGTTCGATGTATTAAACGTACGGTCCCTCCTACTCCTGATCCAAGTACCTTACCCCATTTACCATATTTATTAAATTGTACGTGTCTAAAATTATGATATGAAGAAGGTGTTGACATTGATTTGGGTTTGGATGATGAGGTGGTGGATTTAAATGCCATTTTTAATTCACGAAAAAATTTTTTTTTCTTTTGCGATTTACCCCTTAACGAGGAAGGTTTTTCGAAATTAAATTGCAGAGGAACCGTAGAAAAAGAAGTTGATGATGATTCGGTGGTGGTTGTACTCGAAATTCCTGAAATGCTAAGCTGTGGGGTTATTGGACGAGATTGATCGGAAATATTTGGAGACATTGAATCACTTATTTCATGTAATGATAAAGCTTTATTAGCTGATGTTTGTACTTTTATATTTGAATTGCCTAAATTTAAATTTGAAATTGAAAATGTTTTTAAAGGCTTTAATACATCATCATCTTTATTTTGACGATTCAAAGGAATATTATGTAATAAAGGTGAAGGTGGGGTAGAGTATATTGATGAATATTTTGAGCTTCTTCCTGAAGAAGGGACTGTTAAATATTCATCTTGTATCCACTCATTGCTCTCACCATTTTTATGTATTATTATTTTAGTTGATGATTTTGTTGGTTCTTGATATTGATTAAAATTGGTTGCTTCGAGAGCCATTTTTCAAATGAAAAGGAAAAAAAATAAAAATAAAAATAAAAAAGTGATATTATGCGGAAGAAAAAATGTATTTACAAAGATGTTTGAAAAATTCATTGTACGTACGAAAACAATTTATATAAAACAATTTTTTTATGTTATAGTAAACTAAAATAATGTCAATAAAACTTTGACATACATAACATACATTTAAATTTTTTTTTCGGTAAATATATTCAACCGTTTTAGATAAGAAACAATTAACACGCAGTAATTATGTTGATCGCCGATGTCAATTTTAAATAGTAAATAGTTCATCAAATGGATCTCGAAAACGGAACAATTCGGAATATCGTATAATCCGCTAACTCCGTTAATTTAAAATTTAACCGATCTCCGTTAACTGCGGTCAAACAATTAGAAGGTTCCTTTGTTTATAGGCTCAACCCGCAGAAAGATGCATGTTCCGCAGAAGGTTCCCTTTTTTAAAAATAAAAAAAAGCTAAAAGTGGCCAAGAAAAAATTCCTTTTCTTTTTTTAATTATTCAATGATGTTATTACAATGATTAGTCATTTAAATATCATATCACCACACGGTAATTCAATGTGCTGCGTTATTTAGACTAATGTTAATTTGAAACACAAACTTATTAGTATGTAATTGTGTTATTTATTATTTATCCGAATTCGTATTTATTTTTAAAATCTGATTAGCACCTTAAAATCGATATTTACATAATGTTGATCAAATTACCGTATTTATTAATTATATCATACCCCAAACTGTCATATTTAAAATTTTTATTTTATTTTATTAACGTTAATAAATTAATGTTCTTTTTGATTACAAGCATGTTTGCTTGCTATTTAATCTAAATAAAAAAAAATAAATTAACATATATAAAACTAAACGTTTTTAATTTAAAATAATGTTATTTTTGTTTATAATATAAGAACGCTTTTATACATACATTCATAAAATAATATTTATATCGTACTAATTAATTAATCTGTTCTAGTCAAATTATATTACTAAGAAATTGCTAATTCAATTAATTAACTAAAATTATTTATATAAACCCTATTTTAGGTTTGATATAATTATTTAAACCTTTATTTTTATAGCTTTTTTTTAAATAAAGTTTTGATATTTTTTAAATTTTATATAGATTTACTTTTTTTATACAATTTTGCAGATTTTTATTAAAGTTTTATACTTTTAGATTTTATTTAACTAGAAAAGATTTTTTGATGATCAAATAAATAAATTAGTTAAGTTTTTTAGCTATTTGATTATATTTAAAAGAAATAGATAATGATGATGATTTTTGACCAAATAGCTAAATACTAACTTTGATTTAAAGTATAATTATTAAATATAAAGATAAAATAGTAATTAATTAGTCTAAAATAAAGTAAAAAACTTTATAATACTATGCAAAATAATATAAGATATTCTGCTCAATAATTGAGTTAATGCTGATTGACTCTTACAATTATATAAAAGTCTAGATAAAGTTTTAGACTTAACAATAGTCACTGTTTTCTAGTTATAATGTTATAATAATATCTAAAAGAATTTTAAATATAAATGTATATAAATTTAAATAAACATTTTGTAATAAAAAAAGAAAACTACAAAAATTAAATTTTATTTATGTTTATTACTAAATGAGAATACATAAAATTTCAATATTAAATTATACAAATATAAATTTATATAAGTTTATATTTATAATATAAAGTTTTATTAAATTTTTATATATAAAAATTTTGTTTATAACAAAATTTTATTGTCAATTTATATATAATCATATGAAATTTTTACAATAAAAAGAAAGGAAAACTGTTAGAAAAATCAATTTTATTTTTATATATTAATATGATTTTTAGATAATATAACATTAAATTATTTTTTATTTTTTTTAATAAATTTTTTTTTAGTAATTTATTTATTATAATTTTTTATTTAAATTTTTATTTAATTATTTTAATATATTTGTATATTATTAAATTAGTAATAATATTTAATTTTATTTATCATTTAATTTATTATTTTTTAAAAATTTTAATTTATAAAAAATATACAGTCAACCCTCTCTAAATGCATCCTCTTAGGATCATAGTAAAAATTTTAAAAAATGTGCATTTAAAGAGGGTGTGCATTTAAAGAAAAAATTTTTATATGAATTTTATATGCTTAGAACTGAATAAGAGCGTGCATTTAGAGAGAAAATATATAGTGTATGCATTTAGAGAGGGTTGACTGTATATATATATAATTAAAAGATTTATTATTTAATTAATAAAATTAAAAATTTTTTTTATATTTATTATTATTACTTATTTATTATCCCTTAAACTATAAAGATTCACAGACAAATTTGCCTACTTATTTACTATAAATTCTCTTCTGATTTGAAAATTTAAAATTAAAAAAATTTTTTTTTTTAAATTAATTTTATAAATATATATAATATTATAGTAAATTTTATTTTTTAATTATATAATAA